TTTTGTATGTTTTTGTTTATTTATTTAATAATTTTGGTTGGAAGCTTCTAGCGGTTTCTAGGATGCGTTCAATGGTGCTCGGAATAAACGGCTCCGTCCACGCCTAGATTGTGTTCAAAGACTACGTAGCTCTTTTGTTGTGCAGCATAACGTAGTAAAATATAAATTAAGATTATTTGCTCGTCTGAAAAACTAAAGGTAGCAATAATAAAATACGAGTTATAAATATATTGACTTGAGGGATGAACACGGTCTGCTGTGGTTTAGTGTGTTATCAGTGTGTGTGTGTGTGTGTGATGATATTGATGGATTGGTTTCTCTGCAGGCGTCCTTATCGATGGCACCGATGAACATCTTCAGACATGGAGCCGATGAAGAGAAAGCAGAGACTGCACGAATGGTAAGTGTGTTTTTATTTTGGTCTCGGTGAAGCTACTCGTCTGCTTTATGATTCAACAAGTTTCCATTTGTGCGTTTTCTCTGCAGTCGTCCTTCATCGGCGCCATCGCCATCGGAGATCTGGTGAAGAGCACTCTGGGCCCAAAGGGAATGGTCAGTCATGTTGATCCCTAGAGATGATTATTTTTATTACACAGATTTACATGTTGAATACGGGCGTTAAAAGGGCCAGAGAAGTGACCAGAATGTGTTGGAAAAATATGCAAAACCGGCTTTTGATTTTTTGGTGCATAATGGTGGTTTAACGGACCATGATAAGTTTTACTGACGATGGTTCTCCTCCAGTATTCAGTAGAACATGTGTTTCTAGTCTCTGATAATGTTTCATTGTAAACAACCAATCAGAGGAGAGCTAGTAACGTTAGCAGCACCGCTAACTGCTAACCAACGGAGGTCCACTTCAGTTACATTATGATGCCTTCAGGCTCTGCTCAGTGTTTTAAACCAAAAGGAGCGCGAGCAGCTGTTGAACCGTCTCTCGTCTTGTCTCTCAGGATAAGATCTTGCTCGGTGGAGGTAAAGGCGGCTTGGTGACGGTGACCAACGATGGAGCGACCATCCTGAAGGCCATCGGAGTCGACAACCCTGCTGCCAAAGTCCTGGTTGGTGAGTGAAGCTGCAGAGCATCTGGGGGTCTGTCTGTCGGTCTCTGTCTCTCTCTCTGTCTGTCTCTCTGTCTGTCTCTCTCTGTTTCGCTCAGTTTAATTCTCCTAAAACACATTTAATATAATTTATGTATAAATCTGTGTTCCAGACATGTCGAAGGTTCAGGACGATGAAGTCGGAGACGGGACGACCTCCGTCACGGTGCTCGCTGCTGAGCTGCTGCGGGTAAAATCACGTTTTGTGTTTTATATTAAAATATAATAAAGAGTCATGTGACTTCATCACTCGCTGCTTCTCTTCAATCCGGAACAGGAAGCAGAGCTGCTGATCAGCAAGAAGATTCACCCACAGACCATCATCGCTGGCTGGAGGAAGGCCACGCAGGTGGCCAGAGACGCTCTGAGGGAGGCGGCCATGGATCACAGGTGAGACGTGTTGATGTATTCTGTCTCTCTCTCTCTCTCTCTCTCTCTCTCTCTCTCTCTCTTTCTCTTTCTTCTGCAGCTTCTTCTACGTTAAACCAGATTCTGTTCTCTTCACTGGAAGACTTTTATTGTGAAGCAACAACAGGAAGTAAACTAAACATCAAGTAGTTCCGGGTCGTCATCGTAGCTCTTTCTTTTCTCCGTAGCGATGACTCTGCTCGTTTCCAGGAGGACCTGATGAACATCGCCCGGACGACGCTGTCCTCCAAACTGCTGACTCACCACAAAGACCACTTTTCCCAGCTGGCCGTGGACGCCGTCATGAGGCTGAAGGGCTCCGGGAACCTGGAGGCCATCCACATCATCAAGAAGCTGGGAGGCAGCCTCACCGACTCCTACCTGGACGAAGGTGAACGTCGCGACATCACAGCCTCTCTGGCTCCCGATTGGCTGCTCCCGTGATGTTCACTGTCTTCTTCTGCTGCGTCTGCAGGTTTCCTGTTGGACAAGAAGATCGGAGTGAACCAGCCGAAGAGGGTGGAGAACGTGAAGATCCTCATCGCCAACACGGGCATGGACACCGACAAGATCAAGGTACACACACACACACACTCAGTGTTACCAATGTTTGAAATAGAATAATTGAGGTTTCACCTGCTATAAATATTAAACTATTCACATTTGCTGACAGGATTCAGTTTCTTTAAATAGGATTTCAATAGTTTTCAGATGAATCCTGAGCACGATGCATTCAAAGACCTGTGATTTTATTTCATGCTCAGTTCTGAGTGTGTGTGTGTGTGTGTGTGTGTGTGTGTGTGTGTGTCTCAGATCTTTGGCTCCAGGGTTCGCGTTGACTCGACTGCGAAGGTTGCAGAGATCGAGATGGCGGAGAAAGAGAAGATGAAGGAGAAGGTCGACCGAATCCTGAAACACGGAATCAACTGCTTCATCAACAGGTACACACACACACACACACACACACACAGCTGACAGCTACACAACACAAACCGTCAACACGTAAAGGAAACGTTTCTTTCTTCACAGACAGTTGATCTATAACTATCCAGAGCAGCTGTTCGCTCAGGCCGGTGTCATGGCCATCGAGCACGCCGACTTTGCCGGCGTTGAGCGCCTCGCTCTGGTCACCGGTACGTACGAACACACACACACACACACACACACTGTGTATGAAGTTCCTCGTCCATATAAACTAATGCAGGACTCTTTCACTGTGTGATCAGGAGGAGAGATCAGCTCCACCTTCGACCACCCAGAGATGGTGAAGCTGGGTCACTGCAAGCTGATCGAGGAGGTGATGATCGGAGAGGACACACTCATCCACTTCTCTGGGGTCGCCATGGGTAAGGACACACACAGTTTACCATCAGTGTCAATAAAGTTTTACTGACTCAGTAGAACATGTTTCTAGTCTCTGATCTCTGATAATGTTTCATTGTAAACGACCAATCAGAGGAGAGCTAGTAACGTTAGCAGGACCGCTAACGGCTAACCAATGGAGGTTCACTTCAGTTACGCTATGATGCCGTCAGCCTCTCTGATTGACCCCTGACCCTCTCCTCTCAGGTGAGGCGTGCACCGTCGTCCTGCGAGGAGCGACTCAGCAGATTCTGGACGAGGCGGAGCGCTCGCTGCACGACGCTCTGTGTGTGTTAGCTCAGACTGTGAAGGAGCCACGTACTGTTTGTGGAGGAGGTACAGACACACATGCACAGACTCTCACACTCTTTCTCTCACACTTTCTCACTCTCACACCTTCTGTCTCTCACTCTTTCTCTCTCTCTCTCACGCTCACTCACCCCCCCCCCCGTGGGGTGTGATGAGTGCTGCTGTATGAGGTGTTAATACGTCCCGTGTAACCTCCCTCGTCTCCCTCAGGCTGCTCTGAGATGCTGATGGCTAAGGTTGTGGGCGATCTGGCCAATAGGACACCAGGAAAGGAGGCGGTTGCCATGGAGTCGTTCGCCAAGGCTCTGAGGATGGTACGGCCGTCTGATTTCTTTCCTTTGATCTCCGGTTGCTTTTAAAAACCTTCAGATCTAAGGTTCACGAGGTTCCTCGTACGTTCTCGTGAGTCTAAAAGATTTGTGTTTTTTCTCCTCCAGCTGCCGACCATCATCGCCGATAACGCCGGCTACGACAGCGCCGACCTGGTGGCTCAACTGAGAGCTGCACACCAGGAGAACAAGACCACCTGGGGACTGAGTGAGTGAACCCACTTCAACATGCGTCACCTGAACGCCTCACGAGACAGTCTGCTTCTTTAATGTACCGATACTTTTCACAAACTCAACAAATTCAAAGGAAAGTCATCAGTTTTGAACCTCTGAACCCCAAAAAAATCCACCGGTAGGATTGAGTATCTGAAGTGATCTCTTAGGATAGAGATGAGCACAGAAAGATCATAAACGATGAGGTGTGCATAGAATAATGGGAGTAAAATAGACCACTACTCTTTCACCGGAGTGGTTTTTATGAATTTAAACAGATTTTAAATGTCTGATTTCTTCCGTTTGGTTTTAGACAAACGTTGCTGAGTGCATGTTGGGTTTTCTTCCCCCTGCAGACATGTCTGAAGGAGTGGTGGGCAACATGGCGGAGCTGGGCGTCACAGAGTCCTTCCAGGTGAAGCGTCAGGTGCTGCTGAGCGCCTCTGAAGCCGCCGAGATGATCCTGAGAGTCGACAACATCATCAAAGCTGCTCCCAGGTCAGTTCTCCGGTCCCTTATATCTGTATAACATTTCATACGAGAGTTCCTCCCGTTTCACTCTCGTCGTCATTGTTGTTTGTTTCTGTAGGAAGAGAGTTCCCGACCATCACCCCTGCTAGAGGAAGAGGACGAAGGTGACGAACGTGGGGGAGGGGTCACTTTTGTTATTTATCGCCTCATGTGGAGCTCAAACGTAAAGAACCGCTGTTTGTTCTCTTTCTCTGTAAAACTCTCAGAAACGTCGTCATTTGTTTTGTTTACTGAAAATAAAAAGAACCAACTGTTGACGTTTGTTTTCTTTTAGTTTTTTAACGCGCGGTTCAGCGAGTCGATGGTTCAGTTTCATTGTGCGTTGAAGATGAATTTTGGCTTTAAATGTGCGTTCTGCATCATTTCCTGCCGCGTTCTGATTGGCTGTTTGGTCCTAAAATTTCAGAATTTTAACAACTTTAATGTGGAAGAAAAACCTAAAATCATGTGCGTTCACACGTTCTTCACAGATCAAGCTCATATAATGTTCATCAATAACACCGTAACAGTACTAATAACACACAGTAACAGTGGTAATAACCAGTGGAGCTGGTGGAACATGTTCTCTGTAGGGCTGTGCCACATCCAGTCAATGTCAGCAAACATCCCAGAAAGATTTAATGCAAAAACATGAAGGTATCAAACACGCATTACGGAGAGGACGTGAAGGAAAGCATATATTTACCACAGATATCATATTTTACACATATTACTGGGTGTATATTTCAAAAACACAAATATTGTCAATTTTTAATAGTTTATTTATTTTATTTGTTGTGGCTCAAGGGGGGCGGCGCCCTAGCGCCCTCTAATGACCAGCCGCCACCGTTTCCTTCAGTAAAAGTATCAGTAAAATATAGTAAAAGTATTCAAAGTGTGACTCTTCTACTGTTGTGTATATAATCTTGAATGTTAAAGTACCTCTACGTTGTACTTGAGTCTCTTTAATAATCTGAACATCTGAAGCAGTGTTCCCGTTATTTTGTCCACCCTGTGTTGTTTGTCTCGTCAGGTCAAAGCGACCGAGACCTCCGACTTCAAACAAACCGTTTCACAACCGGACGGAAGAAGTGAACCCGCTCGAGTCTTTGTTCTCCTGAAACTTCTGCTTAATTTGATGTTGGACACAAATAAAATGTCTTAAAGTAAAGTTAGGACGATGTGTAAGAGCTACTTTAGGTAAAAGAAGTTTAAAATATGGAGTCAGGACAGTTAATACTCGAACAATATCAGGATTTATGAGAACAGAAATAAATGTTTTCTCTTGAGTCCGTAGTTTTTTTATTTGCTCTAATATGCCGTCGTAGAAGGTGAATATAGATTTCAAACGTTATATATTGAATATTTTACTGTATATTCTGTTGAATCACCGTTAACATTTCTGACATTGTGCACATTCGGTTTTTGCACCTTACTGATAATCTTCCTCAGTGGATGAAAACGCACCAGAGAAATCAACTAAATACAATTAAAATATTGACATTTTTACTGTATTTTATTGATCAGATAATTATTGATGCATCAAGTTTCAGAGAGTCTCTGCTGTCACTCACACACATACACACACACACACACACATCCAATCAGAGCAGCAGTGATCTCTGATAAAAGCTGCTCTCGCTCTGACGGACTCACAGACAGACATGTTGAAGCTGGTGCTGCTGCTGCTGTGGACATGGACGAGCTCGGCACTGGTCAGGTAGGAAACACACCTTTGTTTATATCGGTGTACAAATACTATTAATAATTAATACAATAACTTTTTACTTTTAGTCAAGTCAGAGGGACCCGAAACAAGCTAATTACAAGCATTAAGACTCATGATCCAAAACAAAAGTGACTTTATTCCCACAGTTCTGAGATTTACCTCACAATTGTCTTTAATTGTCTGTTCAAGATTTCCTTTTACTCCAGAAAATGTAAAGTATCCTGAGTACAGTCTGAAGTTTTTGAGGATTCTTTCTTTTTTAAAGGAATAGTATTTAGCTAAATACGCTTTCTAGACAAGTTTAAATGAGGATCGATACTTCTCTCTCGTTAAGCTAACCGATTTGCTTAGCTTAGCATAAAGACTGGTAACGAGGGGAAACAGCTAGCCGGGCTCTGTCTATAACTCGTGAAGCCAGAACAAGTTGTTTTAACAGTTCAGTTAGAATACAGACTAAACAAACATGTTAATCAGTGAGCTATAGAGGACAGAACCAGTCTTTATGCTAAGCTAAGCTAACAATCTTGTCATCTAACTTTGAAAGCGAATGAGTGCATTTCCCAAAAATGATATAAAATCAAATAAAATTGTTTAAAAATACCCCCCCCCCCCCCCCAGGGTCCCTCTGAAGCGGGTGCGTTCGATTCGTTCCCAGCTGCGAGCCGAAGGCGTGCTGGAGGACTTCCTGAAGGAGCACCGGCCCGACATGTTCAACCGGCGCTACGCTCAGTGCTTCCCGCCCGGCACGCCATCGCTGCGGCTCGGACGCTCCAGCGAGAAGATCTACAACTTCATGGACGTAAGAACAACAATGTCGGAACATTACCGAGGTGCTCCTGAGCAAGGCAGTAAACAAGGTGTCTGCTCGTGATGACAACGTCAACGTTTGTTTCTTAGGATGGATGTATACGGCGTCTCTACGTCACTCCTCAGTCCAAATATGGTCACTTCCTGTTCACTGGTTGCAAAAAACCAAGATGGCCACGTCACGATGACTACGTCCACTTCTTATATACAGTCTATCACAACATTACTCTTCTGTATCTTTACATAGATGATAGTTGAATATCTAACTTAACACCTTTAAGCATACAGGTTAGTCTATATACCATTGGATGGCCCCAAAGTAGGACTTTTTTTGGCGCCATCCGGCCACCGTTCCACGTGACGCCATGTTTTCTGCTGCAGACTCACATTGTGTGTCTGTTGTGTTTCAGGCTCAGTATTACGGTGAAATCAATTTGGGGAGTCCGCAGCAGAACTTCTCTGTGGTTTTCGACACCGGCTCATCCGACCTCTGGGTGCCGTCGACCTACTGCGTGAGCCAAGCCTGTGGTACTACACAATACTACACAACACAACAATACACGACACTACACAACACGACACTATACGACACTATACGACACAACACGACAATACACAACACAACACTACACAACACGACACTACACACTACTCACAAGACAATTTAACACCACAGAACACAACTGTTTGACTGTGGTGTTTTATAAGAGTTGTTTGTGGGTCAGGTCAGCATGACAGCAAGGTTGAGTGTGTTCCTGACTGTGATAAGGAGTTCAAGGTCTGTGTGTGTGTGTGTGTGTGTGTGTGTGTGTGTGTGTGTGTGTGTGTGTGTGTGTGTGTGTGTGTTCACAGCATTGCACAGGCGTTTCAGGGCGTTTGAGTCCACTTCGTTCCATCATGACGGCCGGACATTTGGGATCCACTACGGATCAGGACACCTGCTGGGAGTCATGGCCAGAGACACGTTGAAGGTCCAATTTATTTCCACTCTACTAAACTATGTTAATGTTGCAATTACAAGAAAAGACGAGGTCATCAAATGTGCGTTCACTTGGTGGAATCCTGCTGGACGAATACATTATGGAAGCATACCGTTTATCTGCAATGTCCCTGGTTCAGTTTCAAGCAGTTACCCCGATAATCCACACTACGGTCCTGGTACCTGAAAATATAACCACTGTTGGTCCCAAAGCTTCCTTTACAGAGATGCTGAAGGTGTCATTATCTTCATAATTTCAGCATGTAGTGATCTAGGACATACAGTTCAAAACACCTGAATTGGATGCAAAAGTAAAGATTCAATTTGGAGCCCTTGGTAGAAGCTTAACAAATAAACAAATCGCAAAAATTTTTTAAATACATTTTCTTTGGATCATGTCAAAGTTGCCAATAAAAGCTGCATCAATGGCATCAAAATGAGGTACCAAATGGTTACAGACGTCCACGGTTAGATTCTGGTCGTGTTGCAAGTCATACCCGACGGTTTCCTGTCTGCCTCTTCACCGCCGACTGTCCAAGAAATAAATACAAAAATAATAGATTCTGCAGTGAAAGAAATGTCAAAATGTTCAAATATGAAATTACAATTTGTAACAAAATGAATTCTTTATTAAGATACCAATCTCTGAACCCATCGTCTATCAGTCTGACGATGGTTAAGCCTCCACGGGCAAGGACCATATTTCTGTGGGTCTGGTGTAGTCAGCAGATATCTGGGCCAAGACTTCCTTTTCCTGGAGTTGGAGTTGATTTGAGTTTACAAGCTAATTTTAAACTAACAAAAACAAAAATCAAAGTCAGACGAAACAGGTTGGTTCCTAGATTGGATTTCGGCCAATGCGTTCGGCCTATTTTGCTCTCCACACTTACCGTTTACCTGCATTCAACCAAATCCTGCTCAAACTGATTCATCAATAATACAAAGACTACCCACTGAAACCGGAACGCTTCCAATACCAACATCTTGCATAGGAATCTTTTTATAAGAGTATTAAGATACCAAACCAACATCAACAAAGAACCTCAAAATTAGATGTTGCCATCATTTCCCAACAAAGGAACAAATTCTCCTCAGTAAATGAACTGCAAAAGATTTGAAGATTTGTTTTAAACCCATGTAGCTGAAGATTAGTAGCTTAATTTATCCTGTGTTTTAACATAGGAAGTTGACTTGGTGAAACAGCGCAGTAAAACGAGAAAAGTTAAAATGTTGAAGAAACATTCTATAATGATTTATCTTCTGTTCCAGATCGGGAGTCTGACCGCCCAGAACCAAGAGTTTGGGGAGTCGGTCTACGAGCCTGGTTCTGCGTTTGTGAGGGCAAGATTCGACGGCGTTCTGGGGATGGGTTACCCGTCCCTGGCAGAGATCCTTGGAAACCCCGTTTTCGACAACATGTTGGCGCAGAAGGAGGTGGACGAGCCGATCTTCTCCTTCTTCCTCAGCAGGTAAAACCTCCTTTTCCAGACCAATGCAATGATTCACCAGTACCACCAGTTTAGGGTCCATTGGAGTGAGGAGAATATGTTGTTGTTCCTACCTGTACTGGTTTCATGATTTTGAACAGGCAACTTTCAAGTCGCACTCTCTTGGGGTTTCCAAACTGGAGTCCAAAGAGTCAATAGCCAAGTTCAAGGATCCACAGAGTTTTGGGTGTTCAAGGGGTTTTGGGAGAGTTTTGGAAAGGTGGTTCTAGGGTTTCCAGGTTGTTCCAATGGGTTTCAGGTGATACACAAGGTTTCCCTTGTGTTTCAGGAGAGTCTGAAGAGCTGAAGAGCTTCGGAGATCTCCAAGGGTTCAAGGAGCATCCAGACGGTTACAAAGATTAGCAGCATTTTAAGTGTAGTCCCAATGTTTTAGTCTGTTTCCACAAGGATCCAGTTTTTAGGATGATCTTGGGTTTTCAACAGATCCTGAGGGGTCCATGGGAGCCCAAGAGTCACAGATTTTAAGGGTTTCTGGGTAGTTCCAAAGAGAAATCCAAGATATATAGGGTCCTAGATCCCAGGGTTCTTGAAGGATTGCGAGAATGCTGGCTTGTGAATTTGTTGATAGAATGTTTGGTTGTATTAATAACTTGCTGACTCTTGGGGAATGGTTTGAGTCGTTTGGTCTCAACATCCAGAGAAATCTAAGGTTTGAAGGATTTCACAGGAGTCAGAGGGTCCAGAGGACTCTATGAATTCAAAAGCCTCAGTGGATTGACAATAAAGTGTTTAGGGGCCATAAAACAGAGAATTAATTGCTGTTTGTTATTTGGAATGTCATTTTTGTCCCTGCAGGAAAACAAGCAGCGGCACCCCAGAAGGCGAACTGTTGCTAGGCGGAAAAGATGAGGCGTTGTACAGCGGACCAATCAACTGGCTTCCAGTGACTGCTAAGGGCTACTGGCAGATTAAGATGGAAAGGTTTCCCACATATTTTTAATATTGTGACTCTGAGTAACTCATTAATTCATTGTAACTGTAATCTTTACCCCGATTTGAGGTCCTGACCATGTACTAACAAGTGCTGATCTTTGAAATGTTTTCTTGGTTATTCATGGTGGCACCTTTGGTTCTGGACCACATCCGACATTACAGTTGTGTGGAGTCACAATTCATATGTTGTGCAGTAAATGCAACAACCAGTAGATGGCAGTCCAAACCAGATTAATAGACAAGGTGCAGTCACTCTTTAAATAAGGTCAATCAGTAAAACATATGATATCTGTGTATCTTTCAGTATCGCGGTGCAGGGTGCGAGTTCTCTCTGTCCTCGTGGTTGCCAGGTGATTGTCGATACTGGAACCTCCCTCATCGCCGGACCAACCGTTGATATCCTCACCCTTCACCAGCTGATTGGAGCCACGCCCACAAACATAGGAGAGGTTAAACCCTAATTTGATTGCGTAATCTAAATCTCAATAGACATTTCTGGGCAACACTTAAATCTCAGACAAATAGATGCAGAAATGTTTAAACATATAATCTCATTTGACCTTTATCTTTTGTGTGTGTTCCAGTTCCTCATCGACTGTGTCAGGTTGTCCAGTTTGCCTCATGTGACATTCGTCCTTGGAGGAACAGAATACACACTGACTGCTGAGCAATACGTTAGGAAGGTTTGTCTCCTTTAGCTTGTCTTCCCTAATGGCTGACAGACTTTGTTCTGCAGCTGTCTGCGCTTGTTGTAAAATACTCGTAAGGAATACTTGTTAACATGTAGGGTCTGAATCCAGTAGTGCGGTCTAGAAGGGTTCGGGGTATTCTAAAGTGTTTCTTAGGGGTTTCAGCTTAAGAGTTCAGCAGAGCCTAAAAGTCAAAGGGTACCACAAAGTTCTTTGCGAGTTTTCAAGAAGGTATTCAGCGTTAGGAAGTTCTAGAAGATATCTCAAACCATGTGTCACAGAAGGTAGCTGACCAGGTAGCTGAGTAGCCAGCTCTATGCTAGTTAGCAAGCTAGCTTTTCAATTCCACCATGCTTTACTGCTACACTGAACTTGCTGTGTTCCATAAAAATGAGTCGGACACAGTCACTCATCCGTTGATAGCACTGCTGTGACAAGAGCGTGTTGATGAAGCATTAAGTTGTTATATTTATCTAATTTATTCTGGCTTACTACGCTTTGTAATGTTACTGTAAAGCTAACCTCAGTGAGTCTGCGACTGAAATGAGAAATATAAACATAAATATACAGTATGATACTTAAATGTCGTCGTCAAAAGTCATCTCACTGTCCGTCTCTCTATCTCCAGGAGACACTTGGCGACAAGGAGTTTTGCTTCAGTGGTTTCCAGGCCGTGGACATGGTTTCCCCCGAAGGCCCCCTGTGGATTCTGGGAGATGTATTTCTGACAGAGTTCTACAGCATCTTTGACAGAGGACAGGACCGGGTTGGCTTTGCCTTTGCTAAACACCCAACTTAACTCTAACCCATTGGTTATCGGTTAATAGCTGACAACTGTATCATCAATAAAAACTATGCAATTCTTACAAAGGCATCAACACAAATAGTACTTGTTTTGTAACTAGCTAGAAGCATTGTTCTTACAGCAGTCATCTTTTTCACAAATCCTGCAGCCCGAGGTTCATTTACAGTGCCCAATCATAGACCATCCTCCAATCACATCATCAAAGATTATCATTGGCTGAACTGTTGATTATGGCCTTGGTTGAACTATTCTTCAAAAGTACCACTTGATTACATTTTTGACGAATCAGTCACACTTTATTTAAAAAAGTACAGTTTTTGGTGTTTTAGCAGCAGCAACATTTACTGTATATTCATTACTTCAGTTACATTTACAAAAACAAACAAACTATTACAGAGAGAGAAGATTTTGTGCCATGAAAGGACCTTTTAAGTGGAGTCAGTAATCCTGAGTATTTTATCTAATCAGCAGTCACCACAGTTGCGTGGATCCAAAACTGAAGTGTGTTTAGCTGCAGTTCCTCTAATAGCCACCAGATGGCATCCAACAAAACCGCTAAATGTATTGAAGTGAATGGGAAAACACCCCAACTTTTGACAGTCAACACAATTTTTCCCCACATCAGGTTCAGGTCTTGGTGACTAATTTCACGTCTTCCGGTGTGTGTCGAGAATTAACAAAATATTAAGGCATGAAAAAGGCTTTTTTTTTAAATGGCAGGTGTTTGAGCCAATCAAGCTCAGGTTGTTTGGTCTTCCAATTTTAGCCCAAGTTGCTCATTTCCTGAGCTTAAAAGTTGATCACCAGTATTAGGATTCTTTTGCGTTCTTTAGTGTGACGGTTGGTCTCCAGTGACTCAGGTTTCAAAACATCCCTTCTGAGGTTGGAGATTTATAAGCAGCTGTCTTCTTGTGACTTTTCTTGCGGTGAAATCTCATTACCAGCTCTGAGATTCGTAGTATCATGTTACTTTGTGAGTGGCCCTCATTTGTTCTCCGAGCTCTGCGATTGGGAGTCATCGTTTTTGTTCGCTTCACTGTCGTTGGTTCCTTCCTTCTCGTCATCCTCGGTCCCTGCCACTCCCTGGAAGTCTTGGTCGTACTCAGGGTCGGGTAGCTGCAGTGTGTTGGTAGGTGGACCGGGTGATCGTCGGGTTTGGAATCGAGCCAGGCCTCGTCTCCGCCTTCCCAAAGCCTTGGGGCTCGGCAGGCTTCGGACCGACGCTTTCGATGACTGCCTTGAGAACTGGAGGGAGAACTGGCGGCCCCGTGGCCGGGTCGGTGGGCGATTTGTCCAACGGAATTCCTTGGGTCCCAACTGGGTTGGGGAACAACAAACTGTGGAGCTGGTCCTGGAAATACAAAGAAGGACGTTAACGTTCCCTTGTGGTACAACTGTGGTTGCTAGTTATTTTGGTAATCCCACTTTCTCAAAACAGCAGCATAATGGTTCCATTAAGGCCAGAGCTTGACAAACAGACAGAAGTGAGGACACTGAATTACCTCGAGGTATCCAAGCCCGGTGCCTCCTCAGAGGGGGAAGGATCCAGTCCATTTTGGGATCTTGCCGCTTCACCGTTGCCAGAAGATTCCATGTTGTGACAGCCGCCACCGGACAACGGCGGACTGACGACGAGTCGGGGGAAAACAGTAGAGGGTGGGCTTTCAGGAGATGGAGGGTTGCTGCTTACCTCCCTTAAGGTGGATAGGGTGTCCAGACCCATGTCCTCTGGACTCGGATTGACCCTGGATCGATTGACGGAAAGACTGTTAATACAATCACACAGAAATATAAATCAACCAATGTGGGTAACTTTAGTGCTTCAAATGGACTAATATTGAACCTGAAGTCTGGGAAGAAGCTTCCTGTTGCGTCACTGCTATGTCGCTTGAAGATGGGTCGAGGAGGTCGGAGTTCAGGAGGATCCTGAACACTCAGCAGCCGCCGGACTCGACCCAGAACCTGCAAAACATCCAAAGAACTATGGTAGCAGCCAACTAGAGAGCACAAACCTCCCCCAAAGCCAAACAAATCCTTTCTTTTACTCTTACTTTTAATTTTAAACTGAAGTAATAAAAAAGGTATTACAGATTCTTGGCGCCAAGCCAAAACAGTCTCCTGTTGCCGTGGATGACCATCGCTAACATCAGCCTCGTCGAACTGCAGGATGTCAGACAGTCTGCAAGAGACATTAGTCAAAAGATTTCTATAACGATGAAACAGAATTTAAACAGAAAACACCGCCTTAGCTCTGGTGGCAACCACCGAGGGTTACATCATTGGTTTCAACCAATCAGCTTGCTTGGTTGAAATGTGTAATATGTAAAAATATGTGTGTGCATATTGACCCCATGTCGGTGGTGGAGCCGAGGAATGACGGGATGCAGTAGTCGGCAGCAGCCAGCGTGTACGGCGGGCGCGCCTCGCAGTCGTTCCAGTACATGTCTTTGGTCATGTGAGGCAGGCTCATGTGCATCTCATCCACAGCCAGCAGAGACACCTGGAAGGACAGGTAAACAGGAAGTGACAAGGATGGAAGGATTTTTGCGTAGTTTCTGTTTTTGAGAAAAGCTTGAAGGAATGAGTCCTAAAACCCAGAAATGAGTCAGCGTTTTTTTTTGGAAGTCAATGTTTTTTTTTACTCGGTTTTATTTATTTATTGTCATTTTTAGAAGTCGTCTTAATTAGCAGGACAATGTTCTGTTAGCGCTTCGGGCCACCAGTGGAAGCTACTTTGCTTCAGTTAACGGCAACATGTGTCACATGACATCATGAGCCTGTATCTGAGCGCTGTGATTGGCCACCGACCTGAAGGCTCCTGTCGATGATCCAGTTCACTTCAAAGTCGTCATCGTCCTCCCCGAACGGGTTGATCAGCTGCTCCGCTACCTGACAACGAGGAACAAATCACATCTGGAGTTCAGTCTCACGTGTTTGAGAGGTTTTCTTTAAAGATTTACGTCTTCAGTAGGAACCAAAGGTGGCCACAGACAGGAAGTCAGAAGAAAAGTACTTGGCTGTGTTCAGGCACCAAAACTACTACTTGGTTAAGTTTAGGCAAAATAAGTACTTTGTTATGTTTAAGAAACAAAAGTACTTGGGTTTGTTTCGAATAAAAATACTTGGTTAGGTTTTGGCAACACAAGTACTCGATTAGGTTTAGGTAACAAAAGTACTCGGTACACCTTCAGCCAGCCGGAGTAGAAGAAGAACTGCAGCAGCGTGAAGACGGGGACGTAGAGGTCCAGGTCGTGTCCATGGTAACCCTGGGCGGGGTCGAGGAACTGACGTCCAATCAGACAAGCGAAGAAAAAGGTGTAAACGGCGAGAGTGACGACCTGAAGAGAGACACAGAGATTCTTTACTTTCCTCTCTGCGTGTGGGAGGTTCAGAGCTGTGATTCAGTTACAGTAATGATGGAAGATGATGAGATTAGATGAGCTGCATCCGTCTAAAACATGTTGTGACAGATATGAAAATATGATAGAGAGAGACAGGCCTGGGTGTAAACCAGCGGGACGCCGACCCAGTCGTATCCGAAGAGAGTCGAACACCAAGTCCTGAAACGATTCATCTCCTGAAGACAGAGACTCAGATTCAGACATTTCCCCCCCCCCCCACACACTTCTGGGAGTAAAACTGGGCGTCACATTATCTTCATGTCCGGTTTATGTTGTTTCACTAACAAGGATTAAGTGTGTGTGTGTGTGTGTGTGTGTGTCGGCTTTAGAGACATCTTCTCATTGACAGTATATCTCTGTAATCTAATGAGACACTTCCAGGATTCATTTATCTACAACAAATATTGAACTTTTTTACTGTACTACATCTCAGAGGTACATATTGTACTTTTTACTGTACTACATCTCTAAGCATTCTTTTTCTGAGACAGAATATAAAATGTTTAGAGTCACGTTGAGAATGTTCTGCAGGTCGATGCTGTCCTGGATGCGTCCTTCCTGTCGAGCTTTAGACGCCAAGTTGGAGAACCAGACGACGGGAATCCAGTACTTCAGGTGAGGAGAACGGATGTCGTCAAACACCTTCCTCTCCTCTGGAGTCATAAAACCTGCAGGTGGGTGGACAAAAGCAGTAATCAGTACTTTGTGCGTTCAGTTGTACTTCTGGTTTCAAAAATACAACATGGCGACTTCCAAAACCCAAGATGGGAATGTTCAAAATCCAAGATGAAGAGGACCCAAAATCAAAAAGATGGCAATGACAAAAATGAATTGGCAACGGCCATAAACCAAGATGGTGACGGAAAGAATGCTGAACTCAAGGCTTCAAAACTCAGATCTCCGAATCTTTCCACCAATGCTGTGGCAGATAAAAAAAGAAGAAAAGAAAATGCATTACCAAAATATTACCAAATGTAAAACGGAAATCTAACAGACGTTCTGATCAAATCTTTAAAAGCAAAACCGGTTCATCAGAGTCAGCTGTGCTCTGAGTCCGGCTCTAATTGGCCCGTAATGAGCCGATCCCTGGGGTAGGATCAGACGCTCACAGGAAGGAAGAGGAACAGACGAGAAGGAGCTGAACGCCATCTGACTTTTTATCATTTCAGTTCAGACTCACTGACTCAGCACATTTCAGTTACACACTAAAGATAAATGTATGCTGCTGGCTAACTCAAACACGCTCACCTGCCTCGACCACGTGGTCCATGGTGGGGAAGCGTTTGCAGACGGCGGTGCTGACGGAGCGGAAGATGAGCAGCGACGTCAGGTTAACGTAACGTACCAGCGTGCGGCGCAGCAGGCGGCCGTATTCGTCTTTACCCTGAACGCAGCTGGAGGAAAGAAAATGACTTAAAAGTAACGCGGCGGAAATATCGACTTCACAAAAACCCTGAACTTCCCACCAATGCTGCGTGTTTGGGAGCGCTCTACGTTCCTACGCACCTCGAACTAACCACCATCTGCATCTAAACAGTGGTTGTGGAGGAAGTACTTTACCTAGTAAAAGTAACAAGTATTAACAGCAAAATGTACTCAAAGTATCAAGTGCTCACTATTCAAATGGATCCTTTCAGAGTTTAAATGATGGAGCCTTTAAGGTCCCAAAAGATGATGTTTTCTTTTCATCTTATGCAGAGAAGAAGAAGAATTGAACAAGATAAAAAAAACTAAATCCGGGGCTCTCCTGTTACAACTTTATCATTCAGTAGAAAGTAACATAAATTAAATGGCCTTAAGTAAAGTACCTCAAATATGTACTTAAAGCTACCACGAGGAACTTTCATAGTGTTGTTTCTGTCGCCCCCTGTGGACTAAAGTGGTAGTGTCTCTGAGCACCAGAGTCTCTTCAGAAAACCTCTCATTGTACTGCAGCAGGGTCTGACAGTCTGCTCCTCTCAGTCCTGGTTCTGGTTCTCCCGTGGCTAGGATTAGTAAAGTTAGTCGTCTCGGTTCGGACCACAGAGCCTCCGTGTTGTTTTGAATATTTCTGTTCCACACAACGTGATTGGTTGACACCTTAATTAGCGGTGCGAAAGCACAGAAAAATGAACCTTCCTCCAAAAACAAATGCCACTTTTTTGACGTGTAATATTCACGTTCTGTGTGAAAGTACGCACGAAAAAAAAAAACCTATTCGGGAAAAAATGTATATTGACGTGCAAATTTATCACACAAAAAAAACTATATTTTTTCCAGGTTAACTCACCTGGAGATGAGGATCATGAGCCGGTCCGGCCAGGGCATGTTAACAAACTGATGCCACCATCGATTCACCACCAGAGTCACATAGAAACCTAAAACACAAACAATATTTAATGTCATTAAATTCACATTAAGTCACATAAATAAATGTGTTTAGCACAATTAAAACAAGTAGATCCCATTAGAGGGTTTTTTTATTTGACAAGCAAAACCAGATTAACTCAATATGGAAAATTAATTGAAACAATGAAAGGCCATTTATCTCATTGTATTATTGCACAGGTTTATTGTTGTTTTCATGCAGAAGAAGATTTTGGATTTAGGAAACTCTGGTTGTTTCAGGGTTCACAGAAACAAAATGTTCTGTGACTGAGAGTGAATCAGTGAGATCAGATACACAAACACTCATCCAGCTTTCAGCCTTTCTGCTCGTTAATGATCCGTTTCCATTAGCAGCCGGCTAATGAGGCAACCCAACACCCTGTCTGTCTGCCTGTCTCTCTGTCTGTCTGCCTGCCTGTCTCTCTCTGTCTGTCTCTCTCTCTGTCTCTCTCTCTCTCGCTCTGTCTCTCTGTCTCTCTCTCTGTCTCTCTCTCTATCTCTCTGCCTGCCTGTCTCTCTCTCTCTGTCTGTCTCTGTCTCTCTCTCTCTCTGTCTCTCTGTCTCTCTCTCTGTCTGTCTCTGTCTCTCTCTCTGTCTGTCTCTCTGTCTGTGTCTGTCTGTGTCTGTCTGTCTCTCTGTCTCTCTGTCTCTCTGTCTCTGTCTGTCTCTCTGTCTGTGTCTGTCTGTCTCTCTGTCTGTGTCTCTCTGTCTGTCTGTCTCTCTCTCTCTCTCTCTCTGTCTCTCTCTCTCTCTCTCTCTGTCTCTCTGTCTCTCTGTCTCTCTGTCTCTCTCTCTCTCTGTCTCTCTGTCTCTCTGTCTCTCTCTCTCTCTGTCTCTCTCTCTCTCTGCCTTGCTTTCTGCTCAGGCAGGAGGCAGAGTTATAGTTATATTTTACTTTTTTAGTAAGATTCTGCTTTATTTGACTTTAACACAATAAAGTATCCTCACACGAGGGTTTCTATGATATTTTACATAAAGTTACTCGTTTTTTGAGCGTGTCAAATTCAGCTTGTTCCATAAATACGGTCTTTTTAAAATAAACTTTGATCTTCACGGGACATTCAGTGAGGTTTAGGAAACAAAGATTCTTAGTTAGGTTTAGAAAAAGATCCTCTTTTTTGTATCTGTTGTTATATTATATTATTGATGCATTAATGTGCTCATTGCTTTAATGTAGCAGCTGTTGGAGCTCTATTTAAATTGATATAATCTATAATAATACATCATTTATTAGTTAATTAATTATTTTAATTAATGATTAATGATTTAATTAGGAGATCTCACTCCAAAGTTACTGAAGCTGTCAGATAAATATAATGCAGTAAAAATAACAATATTTAACTCTAAGATGTTGTGGAGGAGAAGAATAAAGTAAAGTACCTCAGCGTTGTACTCAACTACAGTCCTCAGTACATGAACTGGTCTGCAGTACACAAACACAGCAGTGGGTCAGTGTGCTGACTGTTCAGCTCTTTTCTCAGAGGACTAAAATTAACCCGACTCCTCCTGAGATTATTAATAACAACACGCAGCTGTTTGATCTGTCCTGAGGAGAGATAATGCGCCGTTATCTTTCAACAACTTATTGTTATGAATCAGAAACGTAACGTTTCACAGAATCAGGTTGTTTCTGCCTTAAGGTACAGTATATTAAGGAACATTATTATTCACATCTGAACGGCGACACGTACCCAGAACGAAGGTGACGGGGATCTGCTCTGCGTACTTATCGCAGTACATGGAGAGCTTCTCGAACAATCTCTTCTGATGGTCGAAGAGGGCGAGCCTGCAGAAGACACAGTAGTACATTTAGTAGTACAAGTGCTGTACTTCTATACTTACACTGCACTACATCTCAGAAGGAGATATTGTACTTTATCCCACATTTTCACGGTTTCAGAGTTAATTTTATTACTTTTGTTTTGAGGGATAATGAGCATCGTTCAATAGTAGCGGTGCAAACAAAACCAGGAAAACCAGGTTCCATGTTATTAATTATTAAATATTATGGTGGAGTCTGACTTCCTGTCTGTGGACCATTGGTTCCAACTGAAGACTAAATCTTCAAAAACACAAATACTTTCACTGTAGTTTTTATCAACAAACAGGAAATAGAGCATTTGTTGGGGACTATTTTTAGCGGTGGATGAATTCAAGTTGGAGTATTGCTAACAGCAAAATACAACTAAGCGAATTATTGATGACAAACCATCACAGGACTTTGACCCAGGAGACCAGCGTTCGTGTCCCGTGTGAAACCAAAAGGCAACGGTTACGTGACAAACGTAACAAAAGTCAACGGTGACTTTTGTTACGTGACAAACGTACTGACCTGTAGACGACGCTCAGCACCGTGTAGAGCACCACGAACACGATGAACTCCCGGTACAGCAGCTTGTAGATGCTTCCTCTCCAGCGCAGCAGCAGCCGGTGGAAACTGAAGAAGGTGGCGTTGGCGACTTTACTGGAATACGTCACGGTCATCGTGAGACGACCTGTCGGACAAACTCTCGTCACATCACGGCCTGAACGCAGAGCGCGCAGCGGGAAAAAAGAAAAATAAAAGTGCCCCATCAGGTCGTGGGGCCGTGTTTTCCCGCCACGCGCTCCGAGACCAGAAGGCAGTGGTTCATTCAAATTCATATAATTATGCAGAAAAATATGATACGAAGACAGGGAACTGGCCATTTTGCATTTTGCATGTTAAGTCTCTCCACAATCTGCCAAAAACTACGATGAAACTACGATGAAACTACGATGAAACTACGATGAACCGATGTCAACAGAATCACGACATGTTTTCACTGACATCAAGTTAGAAACTAGAGAAAAGGATTCCAGTTCTTTGTTGAACAGTATTCATAAGATAAGAAAATATAATCCTTTATTAGTCCCGCAGTGGGGACATTTACAGGATTACAGCAGCAGAGTGGAGTATATATATATATATGTATATACATATACATATATATATATATATATATATATACGTATATATATATATATACAGTAAAGTACAAACAAAAGACAGTAAAAAAACAAGATCAAAACAAGTAAATAAGTAATAAAACAGTAAAGAATATTAAATAAGTAAAAAAGTAAAGAATCTACAATAACTAAAATATTATATATGCAGACAGAATCATTGTAGTGTTGGACAGTGTATTTATTCTGCACAGATTTGTAGTGTTTCGACTATGAAGGTGAGTCTTGACGTTAAGCTAACGAGCTAACTGGGCTAACAGTGAAGCTAAAGTTTGAATTATTTCAGTGTTTTACTCACAGAAAGAATCTCAGACGTCTTGTTTTTCCTCAGCGGTGCTTTTCATCCGGCTTCGTCTTTCCTCATTTGTTTTTTACCAAATGCCAGCCAACCGCTCTCTCTCTCTCTCTCTCTCTCTCTCTCTCGCTCTCTCTCTCTCTCTCTCTCTCCCTCTTTCGCTCACCATGATGCTGTCCAAGCCCAGTAATGCCAGGCAACACACACACACACACACACACACACACTTGCTGGCCCAGAGTGGTATTGATGACCCACCGAGCTAAATGTAGTCATGTTTCTGTGTGTGTGTGTGTGTGTGTGTGTGTTGGCATAGATAGCAGTGGAGGTAAACACTTATAAACAGAAATGCAGTCAGCAACAACATGATGTCATACCAGTAAACAGACCAATCACAGGAACAGACAACATGGTAATGATAATCACTTTTTTGTTTCGATTAAATCGATTAAAAAAGCGACAATCACGTTCGCTAACGGCGATAAAGCGAACGCTATCGGCGAGATCCTGGTGTTTGTTAGATTTGCCGGAGGTACACCACCGCAGTGTACCCTGATAGATATTAGATAAACATGCAGGTCTTGAAAGATAATGATTGTAAGCGTGAGATACCTCTTATTGGGACCAATGTTCATAGACCCAGAACTATGATTGGATGTTTCACCTGCAGGAAAGAAGTAAAACAATACATAGTTCCCTGTAAGATGAATAACATCGAAACTGAAGCTAGATTAGATTCTGGAGCTTCAATTTCAATCATTGGTAATGAATGGGTACAAAGAAATATGCCACAAAGTGCCTGCATTTAATGCAACTAACAAGAAACCTCTGCAAATAACTGGATGGGTCCAAATCCAGTTAAAACTGGATTCACTGGCAGTTCCCGACATGAATGGACCAATGTTTGTGGAGGTAAATCGTGGGACAGCGCTCCTCATGAAGCGCTCGTCCTGAACAAAGACACCAAATCTCTCGCACCAACAGCGTCACCGGTGGTCGACGTCCAGAAGAGCGTTCCTCGATGGACCAATGCACAACCTGCACAGCGCGGGAAGAAAGGAAGACATTCCTCACTGAGAACATGTTGGAGAAGATGGTATCGCGATCATTCAGGAAATTGAAAGTGAGCGGGAGCATCGGGGAACCCGAGGACATCATTCAGCGTCTGTTGGACAACACGTGGGCCGAAGTCGAGGCCGTCGACGTTGATGTCGCACCAAAAACCTTCAAGGACCTCGACAAGACCATCTTCAACAAACTCTGCAAGAAGACGGGCAATGCAACAATGGTGCTGCTCTCTTTGAGGTGTGGGGACGCGCCACTTGAAAACTGCATCGTCTCGTCCATCAAAGAACACGTGACGCCACCAACAAATAAGAACGCCTGCATCGGCAACTTCTTCTCGTCCGTGGGCCGAGCCATCGCCAACGTCTGCAGGCGAGGAGCGAAGGTCGGTGTCGTGTAGGTGAAGGTAACGTTTCGGGTTTTCTCCGGTTTCTCCGGGTTCTCCCACTTTAATTGAAGATGAACTTCTCTTTAGTTACTTTACAAATTAAGATTTTATACATTACAAACTAGTCGTCGTGTGATGGACGAGACAGAAAGTGGAGAAAGAAAAGCAATGTATTTACATGCAGATGGAATTATTTTAGGTATTCATCTTTTAATTTAAAGACACAATATCTCTATTTATTCCTCTGTAGGATGTGATGAACTGCAAGGATGGAAGAAGTATTCAGACATTTTATGCATAAAGATAATGACAATGATTAGTATCAGCTGTTATTTACTCTGGTCAGAGATCAGCTGTTCAGATTTAGATCAGAAACACGCTCCATCCGTCCAGCAGATGGCGCTGTAACTCTGCAGCAGAAACAAAAACAGCTGATTCAGGCTGTTTGTATCATAGAACTTTATTAATCTCAGAGGGAAGCTGCTGTGCAGCAGTACAAGGTAGGAACGTGTGCAAATATAAATGAACGGAAATCCAAAATATACTGCCAAAATATTTTTTTAAATGCCAAACATATTAGGAAGAGGAGGAGGAGGGGGAGGAAGAGGAGGAGGAAGAGGAGGAGGAGGGGGAGGAAGAGGAGGAGGAAGAGGAGCAAGAGGAAAAAAGCAGTCCTGTTGTTCATCGTTGTACTTAAAGCTACTACAAAGAACTTTCATAGTGGTGATTGTGTCGCCCCCTGTGGACTAAAGTGGTAGTGTCTATGAGCACCAGACTCTTTAGAAACCTCTCATTCTACTGCAGCAGGTCTGACAGTCTGCCCCTCTCAGTCCTGGTTCTGGTTCTCCAGTGCCTCCCTTCCGTCCAGCGGGTCCAGCAATATGTCCTGGGTCTCCAGCAGCGTGGTGTCGGTGTTGCCATTCAAAAATAACTTTATAGAAACGGACAATCTCCCCTCTGACGGTCTCGTTTACACATAAAGAGGCATCAGGATTAAACTGAGACTGGTTCAGTTAAAAGTTCCTCACAGTTTAAAGGTATACAGGCCATTTACAGTTAAGTATTAAAGCTCCCCATTAATAACACTGAGCTCCATCTGTTCTCACTGTCGTCTCACTTCATTCACAAACAAACAGACTTCGGGTCACTTTTTTTGACAGATCTTCAGAAGCCAGAGACGAGAGGATTCTTTCTTTTTGCTGCTGCTGCTGATTCATCCGTCTAGTGTGATCACTTGTGTTGTGTTTCATACAGATGTGCAGTGACAGCTCACACAGACAGCTGTGACATTTCGGCTGAACCTTTCGAGCCACATAAATAACAGCGAGAGTCACTTTGTTGTGATCGAGACTTCAACACAAGCTTCAGAAGACAGTTTAAACTCTCCACCTTCATCAGATGGAAGCTCGTTAGATCTGTAATTAAATATACTATTACTGTGACTGGTCTATGATACATCATTAGATTATTAACTACTCACGCAGTAACGTCCCCTTGGCTCCAGATATCAGTTTATAGACGTTAGGTTTCTGGTGATTTATGTCTTGCTTTTGTCATTAATTTTAAAAAAATTAATAAAATGAAAAGTGAAAATATGTCAAGATTGTACCTGTACTCAACTACCTGTTTACTGGCGCATATACCGTCGTGTTAATTGGCATGTATACTACCTGTGTGTACTCTTGCGTGTATACTACCGATGTGTATTCTACTGGCGTGTACACTACTGAAGTGTACACTACTGAAGTGTATACTACCTGCCTGTAGACCACCTGTGTGTATCACCTGCGCGTATACTACCGACGTGTATATTACCGGCGTGTATGCCAATATACATGTATAGTGCAGTATTTACCGGCGTGTATACCTATGTGTGTACTGAAGTGTATGGTGTGTGTACTGGTGTGTGTACTGGTTTATACCGATGTGTGCACTGGAGTGTATGGTGTGTGTACTGGTGTATGTACTGGTGTATACTGGAGTGTATGGTGTGT